TAAGGTTGCAATAATTTAACCTGAGGGATCATTATTAACAGCAGATGGGCAGATTTGAATTATCTTGTCGTTCTGATGATTTTTCTCTGTATCTTTTCCTCCAGGTGAGACATTCTCTGAGACGTTCAGTCACACAGAGAGGTGTCAGACTTGCAGAGAATGCACGGGTCTTATGCGCATGCAGACCCCCTGCACCGATTCGAACGACGCTGTGTGTGTGTGCAACTATGGCTACTTCATGAGCGAACTGACAGGCCAGTGCAAGCCATGCACTGTGTGTCCACGCGGTCAGGGTGTGCTGATGCGCTGTGAGCACTCCCACAACACGATCTGTGAGGAGTGCCTGGACGACACCTACTCTGATCAGGATAGCACGCTGGACCCCTGCCTGCCCTGCACCATCTGCGAGGAGGGAATAGAGATTCTCATGAGGAACTGCACACCCGATGAAGATGCATGGTGTCATGGTGAGCGAATAATACTCTCAAGAATATCACGTGTAACCACAATAAAAATTTAAATCAAATAATAGCATAACAATTTAAAATAAATAAATAAATAGAAGAAAATATTATAAAATTGTTAAAAATATAAAAAAATGATAGAACTATAGTTTATATACGGTTTGAAAATAGAAGAAAATAGTGTAAATAATAGGTATATGATTTAAAAAATATATTTATTTTAATATATTTTTCCCGTGTTTGTCATATACTATATTTCTGCTTCATTTTTCAGTTTACTTCTGCAGTTTGTTTTCCCCTGCATATTTAAGTTGCACACAAAGTGTGCATTTGTAGTATTTGTAGCCTGTGGTCAATCACTATGGGCAACTGCATGAACACCACTAGCAACTTGTTTGGCTGTATATGACGTGATTGAGCCTGATCACTCTCACACTGTTACTAACAGCTAATTTCTCTCAGTCTCAGTCAAAATGTTTGCTTTCCTCCATGTGTTTAAGGATCAGTCTGGGTCATTTCCGTATGTGTCTGATTGTGGCCTTGCAGTTTAAAGGTCACAGTGTGGATACTCTGTGCAAAGCCCTGTAGTTATAGAGGTCACAGCAGTCCAAAAGGTCAAACCCAGTGACACATGCAAACACACATGTATAAAAGCAGGCATGTGGATCACAGTGATTTTACAACAGGTAATAGATGTTCTTTTACCTTCTTAAAAGAGAGAGAGAGAAAAAAAATCCCTGTAAACCTCATCTGGCTTTATGGTTTTTATAAAAATTTGGCGTTCCAAAAAAATTCAACAAATAAAAATAAATAAAGAAATATATAAAGAAAAATAAAGACTGTTGCAGTTCCATGTTGTGCCACTAGTTGTGCTAAAATGGCATAATATAATATAATATAATATAATATAATATAAAATTGTGAGAATTGTGTAGACTCCATGTTGCTATATGGAGTTTTTATATTGCTATATAACAATAGAAAAAAACTACACACAATTACAAAATAAAACATCAAAATAAAACAAAAATCACAAATCAGCTTGATCGACTATAAAAAATTGCACTTATACAGGCACAAATGAATTTTTATACCTTTAGTTTACAGTGTGGAATGATATAATTATATATTATAATATAATATAATCAATGTACTTTATTGTCCACTTTATCATCCACACACTGTGAGGAAGGCTGAAGGCTGAAATGCATCAGTGTGCAGAGTTTTAGGCATTTTTATGATGGCCAGAACGTGAATAAAGGCTTTTTAACTTTTTTGGACCAGAAAAAGTGTCTTGAATTATTTTTCGTAATAGTTGTTTCAAACCCAACCAAAGAGCACCTTCTCGGATTATTTAATGAGGTCCTTGATCAGCAAGTAGTGCTTCAAGATGTCTCCTACCATACTTTATTGACCTTCTCAAAGTCCTTCATATTTCACAGACTAACTAAAATGCGAGCAGGTGAATGCTTGTTTCTGTTAGGACTGTGGTTACCAAAGAGACACTCTGGCTGTGGCCAGCAAGTGAAATGATGGCCCTTTTTCTACCTCTTTAACACTCACGCTCAACTAAACACACAGAGAAAGCTCTGTTTTCATGGCTGGAGAGGGCATGTAATGTGGCGTGTCATTGCATTAGTGTGCTAGCGCTTGGGCGGTGGGACTGTCTGATGTCTGAAGCCTGGGGCTGTATGTGTGTGAGGGTCATTATGGCTGCTGCTGCTGACGAGGATTGGGTGGGCTGGATCTGTCAGTTTGGGGTTTAGTGTCAGCCCTGGTCCTTTGGTTCATCTGTGTGTCACACCCAGATTAACATCTGTCTCAGGTAATCTGATCACAAATGGACAATGCTAGCTACAGGTGTAAACGGGGGTCCAAACAGCTTTGTTATTGGATCACTCAAACCACATTTAGAGGTAGCTGAAAAATGCAAACAAAAAGTTTGGGGTCTGTAAGATTTTGTTTTTTAAGAAATTACAAAATTTACTCAGCAAGGACACATTAAATTGATCAAAAGTGACATTAAAGAAGTTTATAATGGTATTAATTATTGTTCTTTTGACATTAATATTCATCAAAGAATCCTGAAAAAAAAGTATCACTTTCCACAAAAAAATTAAGCTGCACAACTGTTTTTAACACTTATTTTGTGAGCACCAAATCATTATATTAGAATGATTTCTGAAGGAAAAATCAGGTTTGCCATAACAGTGAAAAACATTTGAATGCTAGTGTGTATATTTTAAAAAACATAACCACATTTAAAGTTGCAAACTCCTTTTTATTATTAACTTGTAGTGTAGAAAACTAGGCTACTTTTTAATTTGACTGTAATTCAACTACTTTATTATTAGCTTGTATAATTAGAAGCTAATATTTCAAAATATCTCCCCCAACACTGTTCTGAAGATAATGCGATCAGCACAGAGCAGCCTTGTTCTGCCCTGTCACACGCACACACACAGAGTCATAGAGATCCTTGTGTATTTCTGTACAGATGACCACCCTCTGCGAGCACCACATTATCATCCTTAAAATGACCTTAAACGTGACCTTTACTGCCTCTCTCTATCCATCTCGCTCGCTGTCTGTCTATCTCTGACCCTTTCATGTCTATCTCTCTGGTGGGTCATTCATTTATGTGCCCTTTGATGAGGGTGGCACATTAAAAACAAGCTCTTTCATGAGAATGACCACAGTAGGAGTCAAAGGCACATGTGCCTGAATGACCAGTCTCTCTCTACGCTGGTGGTCTATGATGCATGATGATTCACTTCCTGCAGCTCATACGGACTTAAGTGGCATGTGTCTGTGCGTGTGACAGAAAAAGAGAGATGTGCTGAGCTCTTTCCTTTGTTGGATCGATAAGGCCACTGGAGTTTCTTACTCTCGGGTTTCAATCTGTGACCTCTATCACACACACTCTAATACACACACATGCAGAAACATATCAGAGGTCTGTAGTCATTCTGCTGCAACTCCACTCCGGGTTTAATTTCCCACTCTAAGTGTTCTAGTTTTGTCACATCATCACTCGCTTGCTCAGATAGATAGCTGCAGTGGCAAAGAATAGACTTTAATTATTGTTTATCTTTCATAAGATTCATTATGCACTAGTGTTATTTTAGTATAATATATACGATCATGTATTCATATTTTGAATGAGCTTGAATGTTTTAGTAGTTTTAGAAATGTTATGTGCTTTTGTCATTTTAGTAGTTTTAAAAATATTTTTAGAAATTTTATTTAACGTTTTCATCTAATATTGATATTTTCTTTTAGCGTTATTTCAATTACTGAAATCATTTTAGTTAATTTAATAGTTTTAGCTTGAGCTAGCAATAACAACACTGATATGCAAAGTTACAATTTATATACACCCCTTTTCCATCTAGAATGTTAATTTGTTGCTGCATAAAAACTGATTTTATGTCAACATGGAATGTCATCTTATTGATAGTGATGTTCATAACCATTACTTGGGCAACCAGAATATTTACTCAGTGTTGTTCTCATTAAATAAAACTAAAACAAAAACTGCATGAAAACATTTCTGTTAACTAAAATAAAAATAAAAACTAAAATAACTGGGGAAAAACTGAAAATGGAACTGAAATAAAATACAAATTAATTTTAGTTATTGGTATATTATAAAACTACAACTAACTATGATAAAATGAAACCTAAACTAAACTGAAAAGACTAATTTGGAATAAAATAGAAATAAAAACTAAATAAAAAATTCTAAACTATAACAAAAGCACAAGCATGTATGAAACAAATAGCCCACCCTTTTTTTATATCTTTTAAATAACAAATCCTTGTTTAAGACAGATAAATAAGTGTGTGTACTGCTAGTGTAATTACTGCAGCTAATCAGAGCACTTAACAGCAAAGCTTCTGTTCATTTAGTTATCTATCCGTTCACACACACACACACGCACACACACACACACACACACACACACACACACACACACACACACACATATCACTCTTTTATCGTTCCCCTTCCTGTCTATCTGTCTAT